CATACAGTGTGCTTTGAGGGTAATTTTGCCTACTCTTCTATCGAATTCCAAATGTCAAGGGATCTTTTACGTACATGCCAATGTGTACACGGGACCTCGGTTTTTCGTTCCATCCGAACGAATAGACAGCTGTCCTTGTCAGGCCCTCCGTCCTGTACCACTGACAAGGGGAGAAACCGAGCAGAAAACTCTCTACGAACTTTCTCGACCAATTATAATGACTAACAAAATATCATTACAACTAAACGAATAACAACAAACAATGAACTCACTCGCTTATAAAATCCTGTTTTCTAACTCATCGAACCTAAATATAGCATCTACATAAGGTGATTAAGGGTCATGACCTTATAGATCACAGGTGTAACTAGTGAGATCAGGTAATACAGGTGTAAATAGGTAAACAAGATAAACGCTAAAGGATTATCTTTTATTATATTTTTACAGGCGTTGATTACATCTTTAAATAAAATAATTCAACCATTTGATTTCTCATCAACATTTGTTCTAAGGTCAAACTAGGGTCAACGCAAACCCGAATTCCGACTGCTCAGGGATCTTTGTTGTGCAGTACTAGTTAGTGCATGTGTGACACTGCGATCACACTGTGGAACACTGCGACTACACTGTGGAACACTGCGATCACTCTGTGGAGATCACTGTAGAACACTGCGATCCCACTGTGGAACACTGCCATCACACTGTGAAACACTGCTATCACTCTGTGGAACACTGCGATCACACTGTGAAACACTGCAATCACATTGTGTGACACTACGATCACTATTTGTGAGACTAAGATCACACTGTGTGAGACTATCATTAGGGTCACTATGTGTGACACGGCAGCAAATTCCAAATGTGACACTACGATCCTGTTGATCCTGTGTCACAGCTCCAGAGTACACTACGTCCCTCCACCCTCCTCCCCAGTAACAAACTTACCCCGTTCCGCATGGCAAGCGGGAACTCGACCAGCGAAGATATGTCAAATGTAACAGTTAATCGCACCAGGGTCAACCCGTATAAACACAGGCGTAAAAGTTGACTACGAGTAGTCGAAAATTTCGCCTTCAAGGCAGAATTGTATGAATGAATGGGGATTAAGGGCCTGCTTTTTTTCAACTATCGGGCTAATAAAAACGTAGTTAACATCGCACGCCTAACAATAGAAATAACAAAAGTGACTGAATACTGTGTTGGCGAGATATTAAGGTTTAACATTGATAAGCGACTGCTGGAGGCAAATAACCAAAATTTAACTTCTATGAAAAAAAAAGTTTCTACTTTGACATTAAAGCCAAAAATTTACTTCAAATTCAAATACCTGATATCGCGCAACTGGTGGTTACGGGCGTTGGGGAAGGTGGTGGGGGGGGGGCTTCTGTGTATGGTCACCCTTAAATGATATTGAAAGGAAACTAAGCAGAGAACTAAACTGTGTATGACGGCCTTTAATCCATGTTGACAGAAACTTCTCCAGAAAGTAATATAGAATTTGTGTTTAATGGCACGTCAACACCAACCGAAATAAATTGCGTCAAAGCTAATCACATTGAGACCGACAAAACTTTATCTCTCTCTTCTCTCCATCGTGTTTTAGACCTGTTGCTGTATCATAAACGATGTGAGATAGTTTTTTTTTATTTGTTTCAATTTATAACATTCTTCAGATTAGATTAAATTGAATTCAGTATAAAATGCCAGACTTAACTAAAATAGATATTCTGTGTAGTTAAAAGAAATAAAATAAGGAAATGAAATGAAATGGGGTTTAACGTCCTACTGTTTTGCTCCGAACTGGGCTAATGAAGACGGGCATACGCTATACAGTGTGTTATGAGGGAGAAAAATAAAATAAGGCTTAACGGCCTACTTACCTGCTGGCTCGCTAGCCTGGAGGTCGGGTGTTCGATCCCAGCGTTGGCCAAGAAAGTTTGTCCAGATTTTCCAGCGTGGTTCCCCCTTGTCAGTGATGCAGGGCGGAGGGCCTGACAAGGACAGCTGTCTAGTCGTTCGGATGGGACGAAAAACCGAGGTCCCGTGTGGACATTGGCGTGCACGTAAAAGATCCCTTGACAGTTGGAATTCGATATAAGAGTAGACCGTAGTGCCGCTGTCCGGGCAAAATTTCCCTCACATCACACTGTATGGCGTGTGCCCGTCTTCATAAGCCCAGTATAGGAACAGAACAGTAGGACGTTAAACCCCATTTCATTTGATTTCATTAGCCCAGTCGATTGAGAAATAGTAGGTCGTTAAGACTCATTTCATTTCGTAAGCAATTGAAATTGATTGCACGGATAGAAAGAAAATGGTGAATATTTTAATCCTCCTCCAATAAGCGGGAATTTACATAACAAAATGAATTTTCAGTTTAAAGATAAAATATTTAATTAAGTTTTTAAAGAAACGAGTTAGATTTAGGTATAAATAAATCCAGAGATCTCTATTCTGAAATTTAATTTGAAATTCTCTAATATTATCACTGTTTCGCATTTTTGTTAAATTGGATAAAATTGCGATTTTTTTTTTTGACATAGAAAAAGTAAATATATGATAATGGTGTTTTAGGCAAACTTTATCAAAGAACTTAGATAATTTACATAATTTCTTAGTAGGATGTTTGATATGGCGTGTTTGTGCGATTCGTATCACATTCTTAGAATTATATTCATCTACTATTTAAAGTAGCTAAGCTCTCTGATATAGGTGGTGGCTGTGGTGTCCCAGTGGGTAAGAAATAAAATGGAATGAAATGGGGTTTAACGTCCTACTGTTCTGCTACTAAACTGGGTTAATGAAGACGGGCATACGCCATACAAAGTGCTATGAGGGAAATTTGGCCGGGCAGCGTCAGTATGGCAGACTCGTATATCGAAATCCAACTACCAAGGGATCTTTTACGTGCAGGCTAATGTATAAACAGGGCCTCAGGTTTTGGCCCCATCCAAACGACTAGACAGCTGTCCTTGTCAGGCCCTCCGTCCTGCATCACCGACAAGAGGAAACCACGCCGGAAAATCTGGATGAACTTTCTCGGCCAATGCAGTGATCGAACACCCGACCTCCAGGCTAGCGAGCCAGCGTCTTACCCACTTAGCCACGTGGTCCCCCTGCATTGGCCGAGAAAGTACATCCAGATTTTCCGGCGTGGTTCCTTCTTGTCAGTGATGCAGAACTGAGGGCCTGACAAGGACAGTTGTCTAGTCGTCCGGATGGGACGAAAAACCGAGGTCCCGTGTACACATTGGCGTGCACGCAAAAGATCCCTTGACAGTTGGAATTCGATATAAGAATAGGCTGTAGTGCCGCGGTCGGGGCAAAAATTCCCTCATAGCACACTGTATGGCGTATGCCCGTCTTCATTAGCCCAGGTTAGGAGCAGAACAGTAGGACGTTAAACCCCATTTCATTTCATTTCATTTTCCGTCTTCATTAGCCCAGTTGGTGCAGAAAAGCAGGACGTTAAACCCCACCTCATTTTGATCTGAAGATCTAAATTAATTATGAAAGTAAGCATGTTCCCACTTGGCAAAACAGAAAAAAACATATCAAATTTAATTAAATTTTATTTTTCTACCTAAATGAAAGAGATTAAGTTATTTATGTTTAAATGGGGTGTAGTACGTGGTGTAAAGATTGTCTGTCTCCTACTGTTATCATCTTCTCATTAAATGGCTTCGTGTAGGTGCACACAGTTTGTGGTCTGTCTGTCTTTGTGTAAGCATATTAGACTGGATTTATAAGGTGAAGGAGTGTATTTTAAATCCATACAGTGGATCATTTTGTTATGCAACAAGAGCGAGTGGGTGTTATTTATTCTAACAATGGTAATTTCTATGGTTCTTCTAAACGGGGAGTCATGGTGGCTAAGTGGGTAAAATGCTGGCTCGCTAGCCTGGAGGTCGCGTGTTCGATCCCTGCATTGGCAGAGATAGTTCATCGGGATTTTCCGACGTGGTTTCCCCTTGTTAGTGGTGCAGGACGGAGGGCCTGACAAGGACAGCTGTTTAGTCATTCGGATGGTACGAAAAACCGAGGTCCTGTGTAAACATCGGCTTGCACGTAAAAGATCCCTTGGCAGGTGGAATTCGATATAAGAGTAGACCATAGTGCCGCTGCCCAGGCAAAATTTCCCTCATAGCACACAGTATGACGTATGCACGTCTTCATTTGCCGAGTCGGAGCAGAACAGTAGGACGTTAAACCCCATTTCATTTCACTTCCTTTTAACATCCCTGAGGGGAGGGGGCGGGTCGATCGGCTAGCGCGGGTCCTCCGCCACCACCCCACCCCCACAGCTAAAGATCCCTACTCGCAAGCGAATTGTTGAGCCATATGTTAGTCCCGAAATGCTTCAAACGGTTAATAAGACTTGAAGATTCCAGACGATAGTACACAATTACTTGTAGAACGATGGGGCGTTATATCAATCCATTTTACACGTTTACCGATGGCTTTCAGTTAGCACAGCAAACGAACGAAAGGTCAATGGAATTAATGGTTGTTAGTGTAATACTAAATTTGTCGACATATGGAATATAACGCTCACTCATCAATGGTCATTTTGGGACATTACAGGGTATATTTATATTTCACTAATTCGCTGACGAACAGAGTTCTTCAAACGTGAGTGGAACCTAGAGTACCCGGAGAAAACCCACGGGGTTAGTTAGGCAACGCTATTCATTGTCACGTTCTAACCTTGTAACGAATCCATGATAACAGGTGACTTAAGAATGAGAATTTATTACCACGAATATAAATAGATCAAACGATTAACTATACATATAAACGTTTATAAATATATATAAACTGTCACGTATTAGACTATCTCCATGGTAACGTCAATATTTCAACAGGAATCTAACAATTCTGTCTCTCTCTGTCTATATATATATATATATTATATATATGGATGGCTGTCGTCTGCCCTTGTGTCGTCTGCGATTGCTAATTCAGTTTGCCGGCTTCTGTAGACGACATGACACCTCCACACACGTAGCCTACTTTGTCATCGTCTGCAGTACAGCAGTTATAATGATAGTTTCATACATTAGAAGTTCGTTCATTTCTTACATCAACAAACGTGACAGTTAAATTCAGTGGTTGGCTATATCGTTTATAAGTATTACCCTGCTTCCGTTCCAAATTACTCTACAATAAGATCACGTAATTCGTATGGTAGATCATCTATATCATTTCATCAGAAGCACGTTTTAAAGGAGCTAAATATCTATTCTTTGGAACCTAAAATGGACGAAAATCGATGGAATGGGACAAAAGGCATTAATGTAATATGAATGGATATAAACTGATCGTTTCTTAAATACTGGATACCCATATTTTCACAGTATAGATAAGTATAAGGTTGATTGAAATAGATCAGTAACAAATTCTAATTCGTGTTTTTAATGACGAAGATAATGGATAATACTGAGTTAGATTTAGTTACTTTAATGTGGTGGTGTAAAAACTATAGATGTCATGTACAAGACAGTGTGTGCTTACTTACATTGTGACAGCGGTAGAGTTGATAATGTTATGTTGTTTATACACTAGCGATTACGCCTTTCAAGATATTCTCCTGGGGTAAGTTGCCGTAATGTCTTCATCAATATTTCTGTCTAATAGTTCGGATGAGAAGATAAACCAAGGTACACATTCATGTGCACTTAAAGGCATCGATGTCAATTGAAATCCAATTAAGAATAGTCGCAAATAAACACCTCGCATGCACGTATTTCATTAACTGGATTGCTGCAGAGAAAGGTTATACGTTACAGTAATCATTTGTGCATTTTGTATAATTCTTCAGTAGTAGATTCATGTACCTAACACAGGATTAATATATTTACATTGGGGCTGGATGTTTTAACTGTGTGCATTGCCATGTTCCCGTCTCTTGATGACTGCATGCACTGTTACGGCATAACTACAACTTAGCTAGGCCTATCCTCAATTGTTTGTTCACCCTTCGGCCTGGGTTATGACGGTAAACTGACCATCGCCTTTCGTCAAGAATGCGAATTTTTCTGAACCGTGAGAGTGCACCATGTCTTCCGAGAACGACGACGATTTCACCTCGTTCTCGTGCGGATCTTTCTAAACCGTGATAGTGCGTCACTTCTTACGAGAACGACGACGACTTCACTTCGTTTTCGTTCTCGGAACGCACCTGAACCCATCTAATACCCGGATTACATCATGATAAAATGATTTAAAATACGCATAATATTAAAAATTCAAAGATTATACAGTGTTATTAGGTCGTCTATCGTCTCTTTAAAATGATGACGTTTATATTATTTTTATATATGCGTACAAAATGTTATCTGGGGCTACCTGTGACTGTTTGACACACGCGAATAACGGGACTACTGTCGACTGTTTTAAACGGTTATTAAAGTATTAAAGACCAGATTACATCTCAACACGCGTACTGTGTCATCTACGACAGTCATAATACAATCACATGTTAGATGGTTTTAGGTCGTATATAGGATTTATAAATGGGTCGTGTCTTATTTTATAAGTAAGTACTTTTATTATATACTGATCGTTACATAACCTTTAGTAAATATAATATATGCATATAGGTGCTAATACGTGCTAATAATGTCTTGTTGGACTTTCAAGTTCTGTGCTTTTGGTAAGCTACGTGCTAATAGGTGTGATGTTTTATAATATCATTCTGATCTTGTTTGAGTTTAATGTTTTAGGTTTTGGTGAAATGCACGATTGTAGAAAAGGGTATAGCCTTAATATACTTACTACTCTGTGTTGTTTTTGAGTTGAAAGTTGTATACTTTGGTTGTTCCATAGTATGCTTTGGCTGTATTGTATACTAGGTTGCTGTAGTGTATACTAGGTTGCTGTAGTGTATACTAGGTTGCTATAGTGTATACTAGATTATTGTATTGTATGCTTGTATACTAGGTTGTTGTAGTGTACGCTAGGTTGCTATTGTGTATATTAGATTCATATAGTGTACACTAGGTTGTTATAGTGCACACTAGGATGCTATAGTGTATACTATTTTGTAATTTGAAAAGGAACTTGGCAAAGGTAAGAAACTCTCATCGGACAATGTTAGAAGTTGGTCTATTCTAAATGCGTAATTATTAACAACCAATTATATATTATGTTAATAAAGCCGAGACGTGCATAAAATAATGTAGGGTCGTTAGTTTTATTTAGAATCGTTCGTTCGTTCCCGGAATTTTATGTCCACGTGATATCGTAGACAAGTTATTGTGAATTAAATTGCCAAGTATAAGTTCAATAATAATAAACATAACAGAATGAAACATTTCAGACAAAGAACGAATAGTAATAAAAATAACAAAGGTCAAACATATAGATGTTATACATATTTGAAATCAACAACACATACTACAGATTTTGATAATACAATTAAATATAAATAAATAATAAATATATACATTATTTACATAAATCATTCAGTAAATGGACATGAATATGGTTATCTACCCTTACAAAAACGAAGGTTGCTGTAGTGTATACTAGGTTGCTATAGTGTATACTAGATTATTGTATTGTATGCTTGTATACTAGGTTGTTGTAGTGTACGCTAGGTTGCTATTGTGTATATTAGATTCATATAGTGTACACTAGGTTGTTATAGTGCACACTAGGATGCTATAGTGTATACTATTTTGTAATTTGAAAAGGAACTTGGCAAAGGTAAGAAACTCTCATCGGACAATGTTAGAAGTTGGTCTATTCTAAATGCGTAATTATTAACAACCAATTATATATTATGTTAATAAAGCCGAGACGTGCATAAAAAAATGTAGGGTCGTTAGTTTTATTTAGAATCGTTCGTTCGTTCCCGGAATTTTATGTCCACGTGATATCGTAGACAAGTTATTGTGAATTAAATTGCCAAGTATAAGTTCAATAATAATAAACATAACAGAATGAAACATTTCAGACAAAGAACGAATAGTAATAAAAATAACAAAGGTCAAACATATAGATGTTATACATATTTGAAATCAACAACACATACTACAGATTTTGATAATACAATTAAATATAAATAAATAATAAATATATACATTATTTACATAAATCATTCAGTAAATGGACATGAATATGGTTATCTACCCTTACAAAAACGAAGGCGAAACGATTGATTTGTAAACTGTTTTCTGATTGGTTCGTAGACTGTAGCTACATTCTAGGCCAGGGCTGATAATTTGAAATCGTGGAAACCCTATGGATTAACCCAGGGTATAGTGGAGTAGAACTGAATGAGTACACTGGGTAACCGAGGATGATACTGTTATTGTGTACACTAGGCGGTTATAGTGTATATAAGATTATTGTAGTGTATACTATGTTTTTATAATGCACATTATATTGTTATAGTGCATGTTAGGTGTTTATTAAGATAGTAATTATTATAGTGAATCAACATTGTCGACATCTTGTTCAAACATTTAGAAATCTGATTCTTTCCTGGTGAGATTTCGATGGTGATGTGTATCTGTTTGTGACATTGTAAATAATTGTTAGTGATGCCGACTACAGCCTTTAAACTCTCGATCTGTTATCAGCAAATTCGACAACTTTAAAATGGTTACCGGTATCAGTCTTCATTAGCCAGGACAGTAGGACTATAACACCATTTCATTTATATTGTTACATTTCATTGATTTAGCGGGATGTACAGACTATACTTACTAAAACACGCTATTAGTAAGTGCAGTGGGTCCACACCACCAACAAAATGAAATGAAATGAAATGGGGTTTAACGTCCTACTGTTCTGCTCCGAACTGGGCTAATGAAGACGGGCATACGCCAGTGTGCTACGAGGGAAATTTTGCCCGGACAGCGACACTACGGCCTACTCTTACATCGAATTCCAACTGTCAAGGGATCTTTTACGTGCACACCAATTTGTACATAGGGCCTCGTTTTTTGTCCCATCCGAACGACTAGACAACTGTCCTTGTCCTGCATCATTGACAAGGGGGAACTACGCTGGAAAATCTGGATGAACTTTCTCGGCCAATGCAGGGATCGAACACCCGACCTCCAGGCTAGCGAGCCAGCGTCTTACCCACTTAGCCACCGTGGGTCCAACACCACCAAAAACAATTGCACAAGACAAACCTACGGTCACCACAAACAAAAAATGCACATATCAGATCAAGTGAATGGACCCCGGTGTGTGTGTGTGGCGGGGGGGGGGGGGGGGTAGCCGTAAGTGTCCACTGCGCTGTATAGTCCCGGACCTGTAGCGATAAAGACTGCACTTAAAATGAAAAATAAACTAACCAATAATAGAAGCAAGTAGAGAAAAAGAGGGACATTTCCCAAACACTGTATCACAAGGAGTAGGATTGCCTGTCCAACCTCGTGGGTTTTCTCCGGGTCCTTCGGTTTCCTCCCACTGCTAAAGACCCCCTACGCGGAAGCGAATTATTGAAATAAAATTAAACCATATGTTAGTCCCGAAATGACCTAGTCTATGTCGAAATGACCTAGTCTGTGTCGAGTGGGCGTTAAACCCCATGTCTCTCTCTCTCTCTCGCTTAAAGCATTGTATCATACTAGTGTGAGTCATGATCAGCTGTGTGCTACAAGAAATCTCAATGAAGGCAATGCATGTAACTGTATGTATTACAACAGGTTAAATGAATAGTCATATTTCACACGGGAAGTGTTTTTGTATTAATACAATAGAAATTTACTTGTATTAAAACGTCTGTGACGACAACAAACCACAATATAACTTAAACATTACATACAAATAAAACGCCTACCACATCACGTGCATAAGGAAATACTTTCTTTTCCTTAAACACATGATCACCTGGCAGAGACAGAGATACGGAGACAGAGGTTTAACGTCCAATCAACACAGACTAGGTAATTTCAGGACTAATTTATGTCGATATTATTTATTGCAATGGTTTACTAAATGCTGATAAATCTTTTTTGTTTAACGTCCACTCAACACAGACTAGGTAATTTCGGGACTAATGTGGGCTGATATTATTTATTTATTTAATTAAAGATGCATTATGTAAGAGCTAAATCTTCCTGTTGTAGCTTTTTATTTTGGCTTCAAATGATATTTACATTGTTCATTATTATTTAGACATTTCTTCACATGATTAGCTTATAACCATTTCTCTAGGACATGTAAACGGATTGATATACGATCGACAAGGAGTAGGGTCGCCTGTCCAACCTCGTGGGTTTTCTCCGGGTCCTCCGGTTTCCTCTCCCTGCTAAAGACTCCTACGCGCAAGCGAATTATTGAAATAAAATTAAACCATATGTTAGTCCCGAAATGACCTAGTTTGTGTCGAGTGGACGTTAAACACCATTTTTCTCTCTCTCTCTCTTTGATATACGATCGTCATGTATTGATTAAATTTAGAAATGGAGAAGCAAGGCTGAGTTTAGGTTAACAAGTCATATTGCTACGATAATAAAAAATCTATGCCAAAACATCGAACAATGATAATCGCGCTCCAAATAAAGTAATTTTAATGAAATTTTCAATACATGTATATTAAACAAGAGCTAAATCTGTCTATTGCAGGTCTT